GTGAAATAAATCAGGTATGTGAAGTCAACTAAGTCTTGATTCTGTGAAGTATGTATTCTCAGGTCCTTCAACATTTTTTCATATGACATGGATATTTTGCCCCCATTCTATGTGTAAGAGAGAGACACAGGATATACCAGGTGTGATCAGATCAGTGTAAAATAGGAATTATTGTTTCTTCCTTCATTTTGTCCATGAACTTTCAGTAATGTAGCACAGGACTGGATTAAGTTTTTGGCAGGCATATTCTCATATTGATTCATGCTAAACTTACTCTCAACTAAAACCATCAGGCAAATTTTTCATATATTTGGTATTAAGTCAAACCTTCTACATCCTGTGTTTCTACAGTTCAATTTTGGACCTAAATGCAAGACTTTACATTTATTGCTATTAACTTCCTTTATGTTTAATTCAGCCCATTGTTCCAGAGGATTCTGTCATTGGACATACTATCAACCCCATGCGGTTTCTTGGCATTTACAATCTGATCAACAGGTCACCTTCACTAATGCCAATGCTCAGCAGGCCAGAATTAAAAATAAATTTTTGAGAAAAACTTTATTCTTGCAAGCTTATATTGATGGAATATTCATCAGCAATCTTTGGGTACAATTTCTCAAACAGTTAATAATCCTTCTTGGGTTATGTCACCTGGTATGCATTTCTCTGCATTATCATTCAGGATATTGTGAGACAATGCAACTCTGATGCCCAGGAGAGTACCCTTACTCTTTGGGAAGTCTAGAGGTTAGAACAGGGTTTTTTAACCTCCTCACTATTGATATTAGGGTTACATAATTCATTGCTGGGGGAGGGGGCTGTCTTGTGCACCATAGCATGTTTACCTGCATCCTTGGCCTCTGCTCAGTACAAGGTAGCAAGCATTCCCACCCCCTCAACTCCCTGCCATAGTTATGACAATCAAAAATGTCTCCAAACTTAGCCAAATGTCCCTTTGGGGGGGCAAGATTGCTCCCTCTCACTGAAAACCACTATTCTAGACTCTGCACTCCTCCAGTGTAATCTAGTGAGCCAACCCACCTGTTATGGCTTTTTTGACCTTCTCATAGGTGTGGCTATGAATAAACTATTCATGATTCAATCACTTATTGTCTCTCCAAAGAACTGACTGCGCTCCACTTCTTCCCCCTTCTCCTATGAATAACTGGTATATAAGATTCTGTCCTTCAAAATTACTCTCTTGAAATTCCCCCATGCATTGCCCCTCCCCAGCATATTAAAACAAAATTTGTTATATCTTTTCTTCATATTAAAAAAACCCACAACTATTTATAGCATTGAAACAGTCCCATATCAAGAATTAGATATGTAGGGGCCGGCCCGGTGGCGCACTGCTACAGTGCGCCGCTTGGGAGTGCGGCAGCGCTCCCGCCGAGGGTTCGGATCCCACATACAGACCGGTTCCCGCTCACTGGCTGAGCGAGGTACGGGCGCAACACCGAGGGTTGCGATTCCCGGTCCGGTACGGGCGCGACACTGAGGGTTGCGATCCGTTGCCAGACACGAAAAAAGACAAAAAGGAAAAAAAAAAAAGAATTAGGTATGTAGATATATTAAAATAAGATATGAAAATCATAATAAAATAATGGCACAAATAATGAGAAATAATATAACGCTAAAATTTAAAGTTGAGGTTAGATTAACTCTACGGTTAAATAGTTACATGGAAAATTGAACCTTCAATAGGAATGATATGACTTTAGAGGTAATCTACAAGAAATTTTGTACCCAGATATTCATCTAAGTACTATTTAGAACAGTGAAAAATGAAAACAAACTAAATGTTTGACAATGGAAGATAAATAATTTATTGTATATTGATCTCAAAGAATATCAGACAGTGATAAAAATGACATATTTGTAAAACATTAATGACATGGGGAAATGTTCACAATACAATGCTGTGTAAAAAGCAAATTGTTATAGAGTCAGTACAGATATCAAGTTTTCAAAGAAAATATATACGTAGAAAAATATGAAAATATTAATAGTGGTTATGAAATTAGGGTAGAATTATGCATAATTTTAATGGTCGTCTTCATGTTTTTCATGTTTTCAAAATTTTCTTAATGAACTTATATTGCCTTTGTAAGTTTTATGTGTATGAAATGTGCTGAGAGAAAATGATCCATATTTCCGTAGGTGAGAGAGCACTAGCTAGGTTTCCCAATTTGTTTCCAGAAGAGCGTGCCAGTGAGGTAGCATGCTTCAAATAGGGTACATGAGGAAAGATGACAATATTTGTGGACGGGGTCACTCAGTCCTCTTAGGAAAATATATGTATATCATTTTTCATAGAATGAGAGTAGTTTAATGTTCCAGCCAAATTCCGTCCCTCCAAGTCATTGCTTCTCAGACTGAATGCTGAAGAATCACCTTGGGCTTCCCTATTCAGCACAGAAGCCTGGACTAAGATTCTGATTCTGGAATGGGGCTCAGGAACCTTCATTTTTAACAAGGTCCTCTAATGATCATTCTGATGCAGGTTGTCCATGGCCCACAGTTTGAGAAACACTACTGTAAGAAGACATGTTGTTTGATTTGGATTTTTTTTCCTGCCTCTACATTTGATAATTGTTCACTAGTTATGCACTGAAGAGCTGTTGTGGACCTGAGTAGTGTGTTGGTGAACTTGTTCTTTAAAAAAAATTCCAATTTATTACACTTGCCAACTTCTGTTGCCAATATTCCTACCATGGCCAATTTCAATCTACCAATGTTTTAACACCCAGCTCAAAAAATTCTTGAAAGCTTACAATTGGCTCTTATAAGGTTGTACAAACTGGCTCCAGCTCTGTAGTGTGTATTTTATTTAAGTGCTTTAAACACTTTGAAAAAAGGCTATGCTAATGAAAAAATACTATTATACCTATGGCAGCCACAATGAAAGAAGCAATAGGATTGCTTGAAGCATGTTAAGGAAACAAATTCCAAATGTTTTAGGGAAAAGGAACAACAATAACAATAGCTTTTATCAGTATTTCCTACCACACTCTATTTTTTTTCCATTACCATACAATGAAGAGTGATGCACTTGCTGAGTTCTTTGAGTTGTGAATTGGTTTCCTATGGAAGATGGAGAACCAAGGAATGGGATTCCAAGGTTGGGAGCAATGCCAGATGTTTAGCTGCCACCTCCACCCTCCATGCCTTCAGCCCCTGAGCTGCTGAAATGCCCTTGGTCATTAATTCTTCAGCACTAAACCATAAAATCAACTCCTCAACTTCTTCCCCAGCACATGATTGAGACAATGTTGTGTCTAGGAAACCCGTATCAGATGTGTTTTATGTGCTCATGTGTGGGAAGTGGCCTAAATAGAGACTAATAGTATAGTTCTTTCACTATTTTGACCAGACATATTTTAAGAAAATTGGACCTGAAGCCTATGTAACTAGCTGAGGTGAATTTACAACCCTGCTTTTAAGAACAAAACTCCCTCAGGCACCTGCTTCCTAAAGGCAAAACCAGAAAGGAAATGAACTCTTGCTTAAAGACAACCCACCTTATTTTATGGGTTATCAATTTTTTAGCTGGCACAAAGTTCCCCAGCTATTAAGAGTTTTTTCCCCCCAACCCAAAAAAGCACTGAGCTGCAAAAAATGTCAAGTCTGCATTCTAGCAAACAGCTCAGTTTCCTGAAGACAAGGCATGGGGTGCAGAGCCTCAGTAAGTGAAGTCAGAGGAGCAGCAGAGATCTATGAAGCAGGCTCACCACACAGATGCCTTTGCCAATACGTGCATTAAAATCTTAGCCTGAATTACATTTTATATTACAGGATTACTGAATCTTGGGTTTTGATAGAGAATAGCTTTCTTGTCTTTGGGGTAGCTCTGTCAGGTGAATAGTCAACAACAATGTAAAACACTTGATTTCCCTTTAACTGCCCAGTGACCCTGGAACTGAGCTTATCAACCTCTCGAAAATGAGAAAGACTAAATAGCTTTTTTTCCTTACTATTGAGAAAGTCAGCTTTCTCAACGCAAATAGACTATAAGATAGGGGTCAAAGGTTAATAGCAGATAGGCTTACATTGCTCTATGCTAGAAAACACAATGAATAGATATGATTTTCTTAGTACACATGCTAGAGTAATAAACTAAATACAAGAACTGATTCACTGAAAGCTATAAGAACTAATGTAACTAATAAGCAAGTGAAAGTTGGATAAATCCAACTTCATACATGATGAAGTCAGAATCAAATACTTAAAATTATGTGCTAATTTTCTCATAATCTCAGTCTTTTTCCAAGATTCATTTAGTTGTGAAGGCAAAGAATTTTCAGGAGAAATATAAATATTCAATTACATGTTTCAAAATCAGACATTTACACGTCCTCTTGGGATAAGAGCCAGAGTTAACATCAAAGATATGTGAAGGATCTCTTGTCCAAATGGAACATTAAGCTCCTCAAACAGGAGAATTCAGCCCTTACAAATGGTCATTATTTCAGTAAATGAAGCCGGCCCTTTAACAGATGGGCAACGTACTTTTCAGCCTGCTGATAGCCTAATAAAAGACAGTGGCTTTTTTAAAATGAAGGATATGTACTTCTCAAATTACAGTTCCCAGATGGATTTAGCAGAATAAAATGAAGAAGGCATACAACAGTTGACAAAAATTAGGAACAGACTACGAGAATTTGATAGTTCAAAACTTAAATATCAAAATGACCTTTTTATTAAAAAAAAAACTAACTTAAACTATAGGGAAAATAAACATTGATATAGTTGAAACTAGGGGTGGTATATTACGGAATTATAAATGCTGATATGATAAAAACATGAAGTTATTTTGTTCTCAAATATAATAAAAACTGCCTAGAAGAGAGGTTCCTTTTGCATCAGCCTTTCCTTTGCATCAGTAGACTTCTATGCTTCTTAAAATAAAATTTCCCCAGTTGATTGTTGCAATAACCAAATAGGACACAGACCGCAGACTCAAATAAAACAAGAGGCGCAGCACCTCTACTCACCGTTCACGCTCTTCTTTCATTTTTTCCAGCTCCTCTTCTCTCAGGCCACCATGCTTTGGAGCCCCCTTCTGCCCAGCCTTTCCTGCCTTTTCATCTCTCTTCTTTCCAAATCTAGGGAAACATGCAGGAGAAGACGGTTGTCATCAATAATCTTGTTGTTTTTGTGGTAAAGTTAAGAAATTATAAGATAAACTCATTAAACCATAATGCTGTATTCTAAGTGGTACAAAATTATTTTTTAATAAGGGCCGGCCCAGTGGCGCACTGGATAAGTGTGCCGCTTGGGAAGCGCGGTGGCGCTCCCGCCCGAGGGTTCGGATCCCACACACAGACCGGTTCCCGCTCACTGGCTGAGCGAGGCGCGGGAGCAACACCGAGGGTTGCAATCCTGTTGCCGGTCCCCGGTCCGGTACGGGGGCAACACTGAGGGTTGCGATCCGTTGCCGGACACGGAAAAAGACAAAAGACAAAAAAAAAAAAATTATTTTTCATAAAATGGGAGTAAAATAAGATAATGAAAGCAGAAAAATAATACAGTTACTGAATTCCCCCTTTTCTCTCTTCTTTCCTTCCTTTCTCCTTTTCACTCAGATATTGATTGTGCATCAGGCACAGTATCACGTGCTTTTATGGAATTCTGAAGAAGACAGAAACATGAGCTTATTTTGTGATTCTTCTATTATTCTAGTTGCTTAAAATACAGGACTTTTTTCAAAATTTATATGTTGGATTCTGATGTGAGGAGATTCTGATTTTCCATGTATGTGTCAGGAGGAGGCTTGGGGAATAGGAATTATAGGACCCCCTGGGCTCAGGGCAGGGCTGAGACCGTGACTGTCCCCTCCTCCCTGCACCCTGCCCTTCCTGCTGCACTATCTCATGCAGACCTAGGTTCCCACTTTAGCTCTGGTTAGGGTCCTCTGAGCGCTCCCTAGATCCTGGCCTATGCCTAGTTAAATGGCACAGTGGCAACTGTGATGCTTTATAAGATGTGTTTCCTTAGCACTTTTAAGAAAAGGAAAACTGCATATTTGAGATGAAAAAAAAAAAAGGAAGCTCAGATTAATTTATTACTAGGACAAATTCTGATGTGACAGACACTTTTCCTAATAGACATTTTCTGAAGATACAATCTTGGTACCAACACATGTGAAAAAAGAAAATGACGATGCTCTACTAATAATCAGGGGAAAATATCATATAATTACGCATATTTTTCAGTTAAGGTAAAGATTCTTCTTAAATCTAAGGAAATCTCATGTATTCCTTGTTTTTTATTAAATGACAGCAAATTTTAACCGTGTGTATGTGTGCACACACGTGTATAGCTCTAGCCCTATCTATCTATCTATCTATCTATCTATCTATCTATCTATCTATCTATCTATCTATCTAACATGGGAGATTTTTCAAATTATACATGCTCAGGCTGGCCTTATTTTCCCCCACGCCCACCTCCTCCTGGCACATATAAAGGGAATCAGAATCACAAAATAAGCTCATATCTCTGTCTTTTCAGACTTCCATAAAAATGAGTATGTACAAACATTTTTACCTTTCTGGATTGTGTTTCAATCCATAACAGAGGTTTTAGTCAAGTGGCAGCTCTGAGTATCACACCTGGAAGATGTCACTGCTAACAGTCACAATCCTGCTGTTATCACAGTACAGATTGTATCCTGCTTTCCCCACAAGCCTCTCCCAGTCTTGACTCTTCTGTGTATTTCTCAATTTATAATTCCAATTATCGGGTTCTCTCTCATGAGCTTTCTCTCTCCCCATTGCCATCTCTCCATGTATTTCTACTGCAAGCCTTTGCTGTAGCTAGTCTAGTCTTAGGGACCCTGTGGACCAACTATCAGCTCTAACTCCATCATCCCAAATCCCTTTTTTTTGGTCTTTTTCTCTCTTTCCTGTCCCCTTTCTGAATTCATTCCTTTTTCTCACTGAAGAAATGACCTGATATCATTTATAGAGGTAAGTAGAGAAGAGAGAAAAATGCAGACAAAAATATAAGAGCAGTAACTTTCAAATATATTTCAGATGTGCTGATTTATTCAAGACCTCTTTATACCTACAAAAAAGAAAATATCTAAATAATGTTTCCATGAATACATTCTTTACCATTCCAGACCCATGCAGAAGAGTCTTAGGGATCAATGATTACTCTAAATATGTTTATGTGAGAAGTTAATACCTTAGTACATCACTTAGATAAATAATTTTCCCCTCAAAATGTCATAAATATAGTAATATGTGAGCAAAAAAATTCAAAATTGTAGGGAGGCAGGGTAAAAATAATGCCTCAGGAGGCTGAAGAGGGCAAGAATGTTGCCAAAAGCCCTATATATATTAAGCTTATTTTTTCTCCATGTCCCATATATTTTCTTCTAAATTTGTATGTTTTAAATTTTCTGAAATGAAGGTAATCTTGTTTTTGAAGGGTAAAAGTAACCTATTCCCTGGTCTACCTTGATCTTTATTACCATACCCAATAATTTATTTGTCCTTCCAGAAACTAAAAAATTTCACTTGTACTGCAGTTCAAGACTAGTACTATGCTTCCATCATAGTGGAATATTTGTGATAAATAAAATGTCAGTTTTAAGTAAATTCTGCAAAGCATTTTCTTCTTAGCAAGAACCATCAATAACAGGCAAATCAACCCATTCCATAAATATTATAAATGCTTTGATTTAAACTTCATAATCCTTTATTAAAGTTTCCAATGAGAATAGCAGAAGTAGCTGTGAAATTTATTTTGTTAGACAGAACAGTTACAAATTACCTTATTTTGTAAAGTTTGGGTAGGTTCGAGAACAGAATCATAAAACAATAATCTTCAAAAGGACTTCCACATTGTTAAAATGAACAAATTGAGACCCAGAGAAGTTAATTGCATATTATTTATTAACACACTGAATTCTTTTTCCAGTTTTGCAATCAGACAGCTTAATTATCAGTGCTGGCAGTGGTGGTGGTGGTGGGGGGGAGCACCAATTTGGTGACTTCTGTAGCCTTTGTTTTCCTTTCCATAGCAGCCTTTTTGGGGGTCATTTCACAGCTATTCTTATTTTCACTGAGATACAGAAGGAGGATTTGGGGAGGTTCATCTCCCTATTAGCTATTTTTGTGAGAAAAGTCACAAGAACTCTGAATGGCTAAACTTACTGCTCTGCATTCTAAGGTTTCAAATATCTACTGCATTCCAGGACTTGCATTACCTATTACCTTAGAAATTTGAGAGTTGACCATTCTGGGCGAGGTGCCTTAAGGAAATTGCTTATAGGTCAACCTTGCTTTATATAAAAGACATTTTCTTGAAAGATTCTGTGCAAACATATGGTTTTAATCAGTAAAATCTTATTTTACATGTACCTGGGAAGGCTGTTTATAGAATGCTATGATGGATCTTTTTGTAAAGTGGAAAAATCACCTTTCAACATACACTTTATGTAAATTTAGATTTTCGTGAATTATAAATTTGCTTAAAACGCCTGTCTCTATTCATTTCTACAGAGGGTATATCAAGAAGCTTCATGGAAAACTTTTTCTTTCTTCCTTTCTTTTGTTTTAAAAATATTTGTTAGGCATCTACTATGTGTCAGATACCATCATCAACACTTGATATAGGTTGATATTATGGCAGGATACAAAACTAGACACTATCCTCATGGAATTTACATTTTAATGGAGGATATAGTTACCAAACAAGTGTAAATATGTAAATGAAAATTGTGAAAAGTGCTATGAAGGATGTCAGGAGAGATAATAATAGGGAATTGATTGGCTGGAAAGGCCTCAAAGAGGAAATGGAATTTAAGCTGAGAATATAAGAGTGAGAGGTTCCAGACAAGGAAAGAGTGGGAGACAAAGCCTTGTGGGTGGAGGAAAATGCACATGCAGAGGACATGAGGTGGGAAGGACTTGGTGCATTCCAAGCGGTGAAAGAAGGCAAGGTGGCCGAAGCCAAGGGAGTAGAGGGGAGACTCGGCCAGAGAGTGGATGGAAAAGCCACAGAGCACAGCAGGTCCGAGAGAAGCGTGCGGTTTTTTTCTAAGAGCGATGGCAGGTCATTGCTTAGTCACTGAAGACACAGAGAAGCAAGGAGAGGAAACTGGTAGATTTAAACAGTGGGTGGAGGAGAAATAGGAGGGAGCAAGTAATTTTGAGCAGAAATGGTACAATGTGATGGACATTTCTAAAAGATCATCCTGGTGGCTAAAGTAAAACAGAGGAAGTAAAAGCGGTAAAATCAGTAAAAGCAGTAAAGCTGATTGGGGACGACTGCAGAAGTGTGGATAAAGAGGACGGTGGCTTAGACTAGAGAAGCAGCCATTGAGAAGAGAAGATAGTAATTTGGAAGTGGTGAACCAATGGAGGGGTATCAAAAGTGTAATTTTAAATGCGAACATTTTATTATGCTTTTGGGAAATCCAAACAGATGGGCCAGAGCACAGGCTCAGGCCCAAGTCCTGAGGTACTGCAACATTTAAAGGTTGAATGGAAGGTGGGGGTGGACAAAAGGGATAGAGAAAGAAGAGGCAGAAAGAGAAATCAGGAGAGTGCGGTTGCATGAGGACCCGAGAGCGTGTCAACAGATGGGAATTACGGAATACGAGGCACAAGGCTGAAAAGTGGTCATCAGATTTGGCAACACAGAGCCATGCACAGCCTTCGCAAGGTTCAGTGCACTGGTGTGAGCAGATGTCAGGTGGGCGTGATCTCAGGAGTGAAGGGCAGGTAGGTATAAAATTGTGTGTCTGTACAACCATGTCAAAAAGTTTGGCTGGGGCCGGCCTGGTGGTGCACTGCTACAGTGCGCCGCTTGGGAGCGCGGTGGCGCTCCCGCTGAGGGTTCGGATCCCACATACAGACCGGTTCCCGCTCACTGGCTGAGCGAGGTGTGGGAGCAACACCGAGGGTTGCGATCCCGTTGCCGGTCCTGGTCCGGTACGGGCGCGACACTGAGGGTTGCGATCCGTTGCCGGTCACGAAAAAAGACAAAAAGGAAAAAAAAAAAAAAGTTTGGCTGGTGTGGTGGTAGCTGGAGGTGTGGTGGAATGTTAATAAAGGAGATTTTCCATTTGGCTTATACCAGAGAACCTTTA